AGCAGGAAAATAAATAGAAAATAGCCTTGAGCTCCGGTGCGCTGGATAATAAGGGAGGCGTCAAATCGCCCCTTATGAGGGTCGCAGCGCTTTCTTGAGTTACTGTGAAGCCAGCGGAAGTGGGATAATGCTGGAGACGACCAGACTACTTGAACGAGTATGGTAACAAGTGACAACAACCTGCTCACTGGTTGAGGGCGGAGACTCCCCAAGTCTAGACAAGCTTTCACATCTTCGCTCATAATCCTTTGAAGACTTTGCCGAATTGGTGGATTTGCGCCGTTATTTTTCGCTTTTTATATGTACCTAATGACGGGATCCATATAGGTCAGAACTTATAACCTGTGAATGGTCTGTGGCAAAATGAGCTTCAAATTTGTTTGGAAAACCTTATAAACAATAAACGCTTCAAGGTTACAAGGGTCCGTCCTTATGTGTGAATAATGTCAATAAAGCAAAAAGATTTCCGGTTCAATAATTGCTGTTTAACGCCGCAGTGCGCGATCCGAAAGTTATCACAAGAATGCTGAGTTATGGGCAAAAGTCAGACCTCGGACGGGACTCGAACCCGCATCTAACGCTTACGGGGCGGTTGCGTTATCCATTATGCTACCGGGGCCGCTGGTACCCTATCAGTATGTGTGCTGGAAGGCTGGCCCAAAAAGCCATAGAGCTGAGAGGATAATGGCGGCCCTTATAGCGTAATGGACAACGCAACCTCCCGGTAAGCGAGAGATGCGGGCTGGAGTCCCGTCCGAGGTCTGACTTTTGCCCATAACTCAACACTCTTGTGATAAAGAGATTACCATTCTCTACCGTATCTCAAATATTTTTTAGAGCCGCCATATGTGCTGAATATCGTAATGTACCAAATTTCACTCAATTCTGTAGCTCGTACTTTTTTCGAAACTCTATAGGGAACTCTCGATGTTCAGTGTCTAGAAGCTATTCATACAGCGCATATGTCGGCGTTTTGTTGTGCTGAGCGAAGCGAACGTTTACAAACATATTGTAGGGAGACAATGCAGCTGATCTTCTCGAAGTTCTGTCGAAACTTCCAATCACCATTGATGTCCTAACGGTTAGTTGGACAATTAAGCAGTATTTTAACAAGCATGCAACTACAGGTTTTTTCCGTTCTTGGTCAGAATTCTTCATTTCTCGATGGGTTTCAGAAAACTCGAATTGGAATGACTATCAACGATTTGCGCAAGAAAACGTCAGATGAAAAGCTGGCGAAGAAAGCAAAAAATCTCATCAAAGAGTGGAAAAATTTAGTGGACAAACGCGAAGACAAGAAAGAAAAGGTTACATTTGCAAATTACTTAACAGCAGATTTCATTTTCCTGCAACAGTTTTACAAAGTTTTCTAATTTTCAACATCATTATTCAAGGCACCTAAAAACGAGCCATCGTCATCGAGCTCAACTAAAAACAATGGCACAGTTTCGAACCAACAAGCTTCGAGAGTTACCCCACCTGCGTCTCAATCACCTGCTCCAGTCCCAAGCCAATATCATTCGTCCAATTTTCCTCCTAAGCATTTGGAGAATGACGAGGTGAGTCCCTCTTCGGGTTTTTTTTTTGCATTTTTTAATGGTTATTGCATAAATCCCTGTGCGAGCAAATAAAACTAGAGTGCAGTGATAGCAGGATCTTCTTCATGTATGCATCCACTGGATGTTTTGAAACGCCATGCGCACGCAGTGACTTGCCCCGCAGCTTGTGATGATACGAACATGTGTATTACATGATGCCGAAGTCGAGCTATAGAGAACAGCAGCGCCCAGTCAAACGTGGAAAGCGCAGGCAAGTAGCGCACGGCTATGGATGGAGGTGTAGCTGGCCGTGTGGCGTGTTACATGTCTATAACCTGCTCGTCGCGTATCGAATGGTGAGCGGAGACATAAGGGACTTTCAGCTATTACAGCTCTTCGTTGTAGGTGATCGTGCTGCATAGATTTAAGTGATTTCTTCATGGGACTCACTGAATGTGCCCTATAGACAAACCACATCAAAACGAAACACCTAGCAGTGTCCGCTGGTGTAAAATCACCTGTATTTGCTTTTAGTCCCACTAAGAATTAGGTCCGCCCTTCAGTGCTTGTATATTGTTAGCCTCTTTCGATTCAATATTCTAAATTTTCCGGGTCCCTCTTTCACTGATGCACCTAATGCCTCCTTGTATTCGGATCTAAAACCATTGGTGATGTAGTGGCAAGTGGCACGCTTGCCACGCGCGGTCCGAGGGTTAAACCCTGGATCGGCTGTCGCTCAAGCCAAGCAAGCCTTCTACCCTCCGGGGACGGTAAATTGGTACCAGATTCGTCTGGGAGGATAAAACACTGACTTGTACATCGGCTGGCCCCGCAAGTCATTGTATAGGCCACATCGCATTCAATAAGCCACTACGATTCTGAATGGAAGTAGAATGCGTGCCGCATCCCACAAAGGGATTGATCAACGGCGAAGACTTCAGGCTTCAGACGTATCTTCGACATGTGAGGAAAGCATGGCTTTGTTGAATTCGTTAGGTGTGTTCTCTGTGATATTTCATTGAAGAGAACTGTCGTCCTCTCTTCCGTGGGGCGAAGACCTGGTTACAGTTGTCTCAAAACAGCAAAGTCTAATCAGAAGCACGATCGCCGCCATGTTAGAAGTAAACAGACACGTCCTCTCCATGGGGTATGAACTGTAGCTACTCCACACAGTACCACCTAGTCCATGTATTTTCTTCTATTATTAGGGTTGTTTTGTTCTTATCTTTCCTTCCCTTTGGGTGATTCTTATACGAGCTTTATAATAATTTCAGGTTAGGTTGAAATCAGCGCAGATGATTTTGAATGCTCTCAGATACGCAGAGCTTCCAGTCGGTACTCTCGATCCTGAGGAGATCGCTGTCAAAGTGGAGGAGAAGTTGTTCACCGTAAGTGTACTTGTTGAAACATGATTTTTTAG